TCCTAGGCTACGTAGCGAATCTCAGGACAGCCTAGGCTACATAGCAAGACTGTCTCAAAAAGGGAATGAAATGGACCAGCTTCATCAGTGATGGGTACTTCCTGCACACGGCAGCTCACCAGTAGCCACACCAGGTGGCTCACAACCACCCGGAAACTCCAACTCCAGGGGATCTGATGTCTTTCTCAGATTCTGCAGGCTCTTACACTCAAACACACACAACCCACACACAGAGAGACACATAAAGTTAAAAACTTCCAAAACTATATTAAGGCAAAATATACTTGGTATTTCTAACACACAATCTCTTTTACAATGAAGTACTGGTTACCTTGAATATTGTTGAACGCTGTACTGACAGTGAAAGGCAGGAAGGCTGTGTGGGCACTCACCATTAACGTGCACACCTGGAAGCACACTGAGTCTCAGGAACACCTGAAGCCCTGAACTAGAACTAGTGGCTAAATAGCAGGGATGCTACAGCTCTAACACAGCCACCAGTGACCTCTTCTGATCTGCTAGACTAGAGTCGGGGCAGCACAGAAGTAATGACACTTGCTGGCTTAGTGAGCATTCTATTTCCCAGAAAAAAGCCAAGTTTGACTTCACACTGTGTGTGTGTGTGTGTGTGTGATGTATTTCTCTATAGAAAGCAAGAGCATCCTGCACCACCTCGTCAGCACTCACAAATCTCTCACAATAGCCGCCTTCTAGCAACCCCATGCCCGGCGAACAGTAGCAAATGCTTCTGCCAGTCTCTTGGCTGCTAACTGTCTTGGTGCCTCGGGCATAACTTCTTCCCGAGCTTCAGCTGCTTTACTCCTCTCTTCCCGCAGTTCCAGCAGCTCCTCACTGGAGCTCTGCGGCCTTGCCTCTGGCAAGGCCTCATACACATCTTCCTCATCGACGCTCTAGTCCAGCCGTTTCTACCGCCAACATCTTGTTACTGAGCACATAAACAGTATCTTGGTCAAAGCCTCGCGTGAACTCACAGACATCTTCAGAACTCTCTTCCAGATGCAGTTCATACACTGTTGGGTGACTTCTCCCCATGCGGCAGCCATAGTCTGGATCACGCTTAGGATAGTAAAACCTCTCCAGAGCCCTAGGAGTGTTTGCAAAGACTCACTGGCTTCCTTGGTCTGTGCAGATGCCTGGCATAAACCATGCGCTTTGAATACAGATATCACACCCTGGCCCATTCAGTATAAAAGCATGGAGGTGTTCAGCAATGGGCACAACACTCCACATCAGGATGCACAGCAGTCATGTGCTGTGGAAGTCTGGGAGCATCATCTAGGAGCAGAAGAATCTTGAATGGGATGCTGCTTTGCCTACAACATCTCTGACTTGTGGAATAAGAGTTCAGAAACCAATCTTCAAACAAGGCTGATGTCACCCAGACTTCCTTGTTATGGTGATAGTAAGTAAACAGGAAGTGTGTGCTTCTCACATTCTTGAATGCTCTAGGATTCTCCAAATAGTAGATTAGAAAATGTTTTAATTTGAACCCTGCAACATTTCCTCCTAAGGCAGAGAGAGTTACATGGTCTCTGGATCCCAGTATTACCTTGGATTCTTGATGAGCATAGGCATACTCAGGCATACACTTCCAGGACAAGCTTAGTTCACCAACATTATACATCTGTTCTGGGAAGTATTTCTGATCCACAGCTACCCTAAGAACTCTTCCTTAAAAGCTTCAGCACATTCAATGCCAGCAGTCACTGCCCCACCACTGACCCTTTTTGCGGCACAGGAACCACCCAGGCTTGTGGTAAACATCTGTGTGTAGGAACCATCAGCGTGCTCTCTGAGTATGTTGGAAAGCCTTCTTGCCTGAGCCTGGATCACCAGCAGGCTGAGTGGCATGTGCCTCTACACTTGCTCTTCTGTCCACCCCACAAGTAACTCTTCTTGATGATCAGCCCAGCTCTCCTAGTGATGACAATGGACTTAACAAGCTAATGATTCGCTGCCTCACGGATTCGCTTATCTTTCAAGATGGTTCATACTGTGGACTGAGAAAGTCCTGACCCCCGTGAGATGATACACTGGCTGGCCACCTTTGTGCTGGGCAATTATTTTGAGTTTCATCTTCAGAGCAATCTCCTTCCTTCTTCTTTACACCAGCAGGATACACAGGTGGGCATTTGGTAGGCATGACGGGATGCAAAACTACAATAACCAAAAGCACTAACAACCCAGACACTGTAACACTTTTCCTTGTGACCCTGAGGCTGACTTGGAGCTATAGCTGGCCACGAGCTGTGACCTGCCATAAGCTATCACACATCATCAGTTAGGAAAAAGACCAAATGCAACATTTGACTGCAGGTTTCTACTGACTGTGCATTGCTTTTGCAGCATTATCAGTCAAACCACCTTTATATTAGAATGTCTGTAATCAGAAAGTCAGACAGTACCGAGCAGGGTTAGGTTAGGTGGAGGAGTAATGAACTCACGCACCACTATCGAAGATATATGCAAATCCTTAAAGAGACGAAGCAGAACCCACAGGCTTACTGTTGCTCAGCCTCTGCACACCTAGGCACCTACCCAAGAAAGGAAAGCCTAAGTGTGGTGATATTCTGTTTGCTCTCTCTGTGTTCTAACAAATAAAGCTTGCCAGAAGATCAAAGAGTGGAGCTAGTCACTAGCTAACCATAAGGGTCTGTACAGACAAACAGGAAGTGATATGGCTGGGAGGAGAGAGGACTATAAGGCGGGAGGAGACAGGAGTTCAGTTCTTTTTCAGCTGAGGATTTAGCAAGGTAAGAGTTGGCTGTGGCTTGCTCCTTTGTCCCTCTGATCGTTCAGCATTTACCCCCATCTGGCTCCAGGCTTTTATTAAGACCAATTAGAACTTGTGTAACAAATGACACCTAACTTTCAGCAAACTACAACCACATAAAACCCGAGAGAACTTGGGGAGGGATTCTAAACACAAAAGAACAGAGTCAAGCACGGCTTCTTGGTAGCAGCATTTTCTTGGATGGGCTCTGTTTAGAGACAAGCAGAGGTGTAGCTCATTTAAGAGAGGCTTCCTGACTCACTGTTAGCAGCAAAAACCATGTAGTTTCTCAGCTTCTGCTACCAAACACTTAAAGGATGTTTTTGGGGTTTTGGTTTTTTTGATTCTGGTTTTTGTTGTTGTTTGTTTGGTTTGTTTTTGTTTTCTTCAAAGCAGAGTTTCTCTGTGTAGCTTTGGAGCCTGTCCTAGAATTCACTCTGTAAACCAACCTGGCCTTGAACTCACAGAGATCCACCTGCCTCTGCCTCCCTCCCAAGTGCTGGAATTAAAGAAGTGCACAACCATCGCCTGGCTTAAATTGTGTTTATTTATAAGCATCCTGCGGCTCTTGTACACTGTTAAGATTGTTGCTCATTTGTTTAATAAAACAACTGGCCATTAGTAAGGCAGGAAGTACAGATGGGGTGATCAGACTAGGAGAATTCTGGGAAGAGGAAAGGCAGAGAGTCAGTCACCAGCCAAATGCACAGGAAGCAA